TACCATTTCCCTGCACAAGATGAGCAATCGAGAGTAGGTAGACGATAAATCATAGACTCACTTGGAGACCAACGGCCATGATGACATTTGGTTGACCCTTCTTGGGCTTGTACGGCTCCACGCCGGGATCGACAAGTTGTACAAGCTCATCAAAAATAGCCTGGGATACACAGAGAGAGGTAATGGAGTAAAGTATGTGTGCGAGCGTAGCATGTACTCACCTTCTGCACGATGTTCTTCCTGTTGGCATCTTTCACCTTGTCACCGCCACTTTCTAGTTGTGATTTGACTTTCTGCTTCACCTTCTGCCTCAGAGAAGCCACAAGTTTCACGTTCACGTCCGACTCGAGTAGGGCCGCGCAGACTTCCTTCAGCAGTGCATCGAGGACCTATTTTCGGAGTCAGGAAGCTGAATGATACTGAGAGACTATTCCTGTAACCTTCTCGTCGACGACAGGGGCCCTGTTGAGGGAAGAAAGGGCAGCATTGAGCTTTCGCCCAAGGTCGGCTAAGACCATGATCGTGGTATGGTTATACAAGGTTATACAGCAATAGCCGCCCTGGACTCTTGTCTTCTCTCAGCCACATTGGTTCCCTCCCAATATTCCGCGTCTCCATCCACTCTCCCCATGGCCTCCAGCAGTTCGGAAGACGAGGAGATTGACGACTTTGGCTTTGATGCGCATTCAGAAGGCGACGAGGACCAGGACCTTGAAGATGACATCCTCGGGGCATTAGAGGGGGACCTCGCTGCTGCCGGTGCAGAGGAAGCAAGCGAGGGAGACGACGTGTGTCCATCTCTCCATTAGTGGGTCTAGTGCGCAATGTCCTCACTACGTTGTCATTGATATGACTCTAGGAATCCGACACGGACGATTCTGACAACGGGTCAGACGACGCAGAGGCAGAAAGCTATGTGCAACCCGCCGCACCGTCAATGTCGACTGTGCCAAGCCAAAATGAGCCATTGTCTGCTGTCCAACCTCCTCCGGTCGCCAATAGCTTTGGCCACAGTCCAACTGCCTCATCGAAACGCGAGGACATGCCCCCCAAACGTATACTCGTCTCATTTTCTCACATCCATCTGTATCTAATATGCTCGTAGCTCCTTCACCTGCCGTCGAGAGGAAATCACCTTCTCCCGCCCAAGCCCGTCTAGCCAGACTCATTGCTGATTTACGAATACCTCGATCGTATACTGTCGAGGCAATCTGTGCCATTCCCCATCCTGTACCCACACATTCCCTCGCCGCGTCGGCGTGTATGACCCATCTGCTTACCGGGTCAGACGACGGGTATATACGCGATTACGATATTTACTCTGGCGTGAACGGTAAGATTTTCCTAACCGCCCCTCAGAGACATCACTGCGGTGTTATGGAAGGTCTTATGAAGGCCGCTCAGCTGAGGTGCTGGTGGGAGAATCCCGTAGGGTTCAATGGCTTGAATGGTCCCATCGAGGACGTGCCAGTATGTCCTCCGTATAGCTTACTCATGCACTCCGACGCGTTGTGGTGTTTATCGGGTTCAGATGTGAGCCAGATATCCCTCTTTGTCTTGTTTTTCCATCTGAGCGAATCATAGCAAGGAAACATTAACTTGTTCACCGTACGACACGAGCCTGGCCGGTTATGTCACGTGATGAACCAACATCGGGGGCCGGTGTCATCCATGGCTATGGAACACGACGAGAAGGGCTTCTATAGCGCTGGCTGGGACGGTGAAGCATATGTGGGTCCTGTTTTGTAACCTCGTCTAATAGTCGCTCAATCGCCTATAGCTTTGGGACCTGAATACAGGTCAGATTGTAAGGAATTTCAAGTCTCATGGGTCGCAGTTGACTGCCGTCGCTGTCCGACCGCTTGTTTCTCCGGAATTTCATGGTGCGTTGCAATGGAACGACGTTCAAGCAATGCAACATGCAAATCCTCCTCGACGTGAGGATGTCAATTACATGTCCCAACCTTTACCTCAGTCTGATCCGGCAAAGCATGAGTCTATAGAGCAGCCCCTGGTGCAGCAAGGCGATGGACCTACTGCACCTGCATCGTCGTCTCCTCAAGATGATGATGCGAAGTCGAACGCGTCATTTGACACACTGTTCGGCGACGGACCTGACGCTGACGGAGAGGCCGAGACAGAGCAGGACCGTGGCTCGCAACAGCCTCAACAGACGACGTATCCGGGCTCATCGTCATCCGTTCAACCTCAATATACAATGCCCCGGCAGCAACAGTCAGCGCGTGTTGTGTCTGGTACTGCGGCCCTGGCGCCGAAGAATGCTCCACCTATCTTGGACCCAGATACTTACTCTAGGTTCTCCCCCGATGTCCTTATGGTGGCGTCGATCGATGGGCAGATCGTTCTATGGGATAAGAGAATCAACTCGCCTGGTTGGGGCGTCGGTCGGCTGTGGCTGAGCGAGAAAACACCCCCCTGGTGTGTATCGGTGCGTCAAGAGGATTTGCATTTGCTTTGTTATCACTTATGCTGTCCATCCTCAGGCGTGCTGGTCCGGTGACGGCAACCAAATATACGCAGGGCGACGAAACGGGACCATAGATATATACGACGTACGCCAAATGGGCATGCCAACTTTTGGAACGCCGCGGATATTGAAGACTTTACGGAATCCAGTTAGCTCTGGGTCTGTGTCATGTGTGGTTGCTTTTCCAGATGGTCGGCACCTGGCCTGGTTAGTAAACTAGGAATTCTATGAGGCAATACGAAGATCAAGCTGATTGTTTGAGCCTCGCAGTGCTTCCCAAGACAATATTCGACTATGGAATGTTGCTGAAGCCAACGAACCTGACCACTATGGCAAAACGAAAAGTGGGGTTCAGTTCAAGATTATACCTGGTCATCATGGCGGGTTCATCTCCCAAATGCGTAGGTTCCCTCAATTTGAGAGGCTTACAATACAAATACAAGCTCACCTTTTGTGCAGTGGTCGACCGCGCAGCAAGATTCCTTGTAAGCGCAAGCAGTAATCGCGGTTGGTTTGGCGAATCGACTCGTACAGTCTTCGTGCATGAAATTAAACATATACAATAAGTCGCTACAAGCTGTCCATCATCTTTGTAATATCAGTGTTCCAAATAGACCATACATATTGAGTCCTATGAAAACGCAGCGACCACGCTATGTATCTTGCGCCGCCCGTTCCTTCTTCCACTTCTTATTCTGAGCGGAAGCGGCGGACTTGTTGCCAAAGAGGAATCGGGAAGTCCTCTTATCTGCCCCGGTTTTCCTGGACCGGTAAGATGATCCTGAGAAGAGGACCTGGGTGTGTGGATTAACCCTGCATAACCTCTGTATCTGCATCGTTACGGAGAAAGTACTTACCGTCCACCAACCCCAGGCACCGATGACGGCGGAACCCATGAATACTAAAAGGGCGAGCGAGGATACAGAGCTGGTATTGTATGAGATGAAGGCTATCAATGTACACGCAGAAGTCAAAGGGACAAGCAGGGGATGGCCTTGCGCCTTTTGCGCCTCTGCTATGACGGAATCCGATCGTATCTATATATCAATTTCAGCCTCGCATGAGTTACACGGAAATCCGAGGGGAATGGTGAGAGCTTTACATTGAACAAGAGCGCAAGGGCGAAGGCGAACAGGAGTATCCCTCCGTTGAGTGCAAGGTACCGCTCCAGAGGCGTAAGCTCATTCCTATTCTCGCTTGCTGTCGCCGAAACAAACAACAAGAATCGAGGAAAGAGTATCATAGGCACTGCAAGCGCGAGCAAGCTAGGTGCCATGGCGTAAGCAGCATTCTGGGGATTTATATGAATTGCATACATAGAGTATACCCACCATTACCAGAGCTGACTAAGCTCCACTGGTAACCTTGCTGGTAACCCCCCGCGTAAGGTAGGCGAGGTCACCAGTACAGTACACGAAAATACGTGCTAAAATCCGGCTAGATATTCGCATCACGGTGGGCGCTTAGGCTCCCCGGCCCTTCTCTCGCCTCCTGGGATGGTTCCTTGACACAGGATCCATAGTGTAGCCCATTCAAAAGAAAGATGCATGTCTCCCCTGCGCATTCTTATTTTTCGTGTTTTTCTCTCTCATTTTCT